TGAAGAATCAATTTAATTTTCAAACACCCCAAAACCCCAAAACCCCATCATCATAAATTAGTTTAAAGTTGGAATTTAATTTTTATTGTTATTATAAATATCTAAAAATGTAATATCTTAATAAATATGACATAGATCCTGAATAAAAGGAGCTTATCGAAAATTGCTGCTTCCCAGATTATATAAATTTTGCCGAATCTGTAAATAAATCTGAGCTTATCGACAATGAATTTGGCCTACAAGATTTTTCAAAATGCACTAGGTGTAAGAGGACAGTCACAAATGCCCAAGCATGCTTAAATTGTAATGCTTTATATTGCAAAAAATAGAAATACTGCTATAAATCCAATGTCATGCATTTTTCGTGTTTATAGTGCGATTAAAATTTAAAACTAACATAGCTTGATGAGGACACCCAGAAAATATTAGATTAATTGCAATTCGAAGGGTGTATATTCAAAGATTGCGAATTAAGTCAATAATCACTTACTCATAAAGATTTGCTCAATCATTATCAACTTGAATGCAAGATAATAGATGTAATATGTCCTTTAGGATGTGGAATGTATTTCAAGAGGTAAGACAGAATGGAACACATTGGAATGTGTATATACATTAAATACTCATGCAGAGATTGCGGAATTCAAATGAATGTTAAAGAATATGATCCAAATACTCATAGCTGCTTTCCATTTCTTCATTTAATGGTAGAGTAGTCTTTTCAATTGTATGAGGATATCAAAAAAGATTTTGAGGATTATAAGCAAGAAACTGAGGCTAAACATAAAAAAATAGTTGGTGAAAACATTTAAAACGCCTAGTCACCACAATATAAAATGACTTTTATCCACAAAAACCCATTAAGAAAAATGACATTCAAATAGATACGTGAATTATACTAGTACAAGCCCAAAAAGTGGTTTTGTGATGGCTATCATTTTGACTATTGTAGATACGATAAAATGTCGAGAGATGAAAAAATCTTATTTGATAAAGATGAGTTTTTTCATTGCCTCAAATGTAAGGTGGGATAATGCTTTTATTGTTTTGGTCATTATGGTGCTTTACATCCACATCCACTTTTAAAGGTTAGCACATAAGATATCAAAGAATATGATCTTGAGTCTTATCAATGAGGACATTAATGTATTGCCCTTAGATTTTAGGGATGCCCCTTAGTCAATAAGCCTTAATCAAATCTTGATTAAATACTTTACTTTGACCCTTTATAGAATTTCTTTTTATGCAAAAGATGCGCTAATAACTATGAAGTTCATCCTTATGAGTACTTTAAGGATGGTAATGATGAAGATATGTCAAAAGTACTTGATGAATTAAGAGATTAAAGAGAGCTAAAAAAAGATTTATAAAAATAAAAAATCATTGAATATTATAAAGACTAGCCTATTCGGACATTATAGACCTAAATTCACTAACATCAATTAAAAGTATTAAGCTTAGCATAGATTCAGGAAATTCATGGCCCTGGAGAGTATAATGGATATTGGTGTAATGGAGGACCAAGTAATTATAGCTGTAAAAGTAATTAATAATAGTTTTAGATGCCAATAGTAAATCAAAAAGAAATAATTTATCATTGCTCTGATTGTTATTTTACTTTGTGTGAAGAATGCAATTATAGTTTCGGCTTTTCTCATCCACATAAGTTGAAAATGAAAACCTTATCAGAAGCAATGAAAGAAGATAATAGATATAGGAAAGGATTCATTTGTTAAGGCTCAGAATTTCGTCGTTGTATTTTATAAGATTAGGAATAGAATGATATCAGATAGATAGTATATCATTGTTAATTATGCAAATTCGATTTATGCGGTAATTGTATAGAAATATATAAGATTATACCTAAAATCGAAAATAGAGATTAATAATTATAAGGCTATGATAGATATTGAGATGAATAATTTTGTATTATCCTAGAAATATTAAAATAAAGATAAAAGCCTTTTTTGATTGCATAATATTATTTTCAAAATTTCTAATTATGTAATCTTTAAAAATTGAAGTTCAATGGGGTTTTGGGGTTTTGGGG